TATCCATTTCCATTCCTTCAAATTCTACATTTTCCTTTCTATTGCGCAAATGTTCTGCTCTCCGCTGCTGCTCGACTTGATGTTTCCACAGTTCACGTATTTTACATTGACCAGCCACCAATAACTCAAAAAATTGCGTTGTTGCTTCCAATTGGATATTACAACCCGGACAAATTGTACATGGTAATTTTCCATCATCATAAATCTTAAATTTATACGTTTATAATTTACGATTATCATAAAAACATAATTCATACGTAAGTAAATAGTTTATAATCTACATTGTAATAATTTATATTATATTCTAATGTTCATATACAAAATGAAGATAATATTGCCTGTTCTTTTTAGGAAAACATCTTGTACAGTTCGCTTTTTTCTTTCCTCTCTATGTTAAAGAAAGTTAAAGGATAAACCATGCAAGAAATTTAATTAAACAAAACAATATATATAATTATATATATAATTATATATATTGTTTTGTTATATAATTAACAATGTATATACAATTAATAAAAAAACTGTTCATCTGTGATAATATCAAAGTGGTAATATGGAGGCAATACAAATATGTTCAAGGTATAAATAATTAAAATAATATCCTTGTTTAGCAAAAAGGAAGAGAGAGAGAGGGGGGGGGGGAGTTCATAATAAAAAAAAGCTAAGGGACAATAGCACATGCTATGCATGAAATGATGAACATTTGATCAGTGCAGTAACACTGTATGGAAGGCATGAAAATCGGAGTAGGAAATCAAGTTGCATTCCATATAACTGGCGTTTCGAAAATACAACGTCTTACCTTCAAAGGCAGGTAACGATTCACCAGTGAGCATAGATTCGACTCGCCTGTTTCACTGATGAATAAATGCTCGTTGCCATTGTCCGCCGCGCACAAACGACAAATCGTTGAATCATATAGATGCATATCTACGGTGTTCCTAATAGTAAAGTAAAACGATATCCTGAAATTAAATCATCCCGAGGAAAGATATAATGTATAAAAAAAATATATATATTATGAATTTATGTAACAAATTTAGATGCCAAAATTTATTGAGTTTTTACCATTACTTTGTATATACAACGTTGAATAAGCACTGACCGCACTGCCCTAAACAAATCAGGGGATCATGCTGTTTCCACAATAAATAGGTAGTCTGCTGCATGAGAGCTTTTCAACAAGAGACGCAAATGACACAGTGTGGAGTGTGGCACGGCCACAGTGAACCGTTGCATAGCTCATAGCTGCGTTCAGAAATATAATCTGGGTGCCCTCGTGTATTATTTTAGGCCCTGCGCACAATAGCAAGAATAAATTAATAGCGTTTTCGGCCCGACCGGGTTTGCACCAACCTGGGTTAGATTAATGGCGTTTTGCGCTCTCCTATTGGTAGAGCGTGTGACATCAACCAATAGGAAAGATTAATCCAACCCAGGTTAGTGCAAACCCGATCGGGCCGAAAACGCTATAAAACTC